CATTTACTTCCTGGTTGTCGTTCATGGTATGGTCCGTATTGACCTCCACTTCTAACAGTTCTTTCCGCTCTTCTGAGGTCTTCTGACTTCTCGTTTCAACCATTCTGCCTGAAACCGTCTCCCCTTTATCGGACCGGGATCGCTTGATCCAATCCACAAAAGGATCGGTCATCGTTTTTCTTTGCTTTTCAGGTATGAATTTCCTAGAGCTATTACCTCGTTTTGGTATCCTTGACTTGTCTAGACTCATTCTCTATTTGTCACTTTTTAATGCCTATACTTAACTCGATTGCTAGAGACCTTATAGTTTTATTAACAATAATAATGACACAACACAATAATTTTTACAAGATTCTATTAAATAGTGACCACGAATCCCTGTATGTTATCAGAGTACAGTTTGTATAAAATTTATTCACACTAACCGATTATCGGTGGTAAGATTTGAAAACTAGCACAATATGATGTTATCAGTCAATTTAAAAGATAGTGTACTCACTACCCAATCAAGCACAGTTTATGTTGATTTAAAATCAAAAAACAAAATATATATATTTAATGTCAAACTATGAATACTTCTATGAAAAAAAAACGTATGTGTAATGTACTCTTAGTCGGTCGCAGTACAATAGTCGAACCTGTCTTTTAAAGAAAAAGCTTTCCCTGCTCGGTGCTGCACCAAACAGACAAAACTTTGAAAGGAGTAATTTTCTCAAGTGGGCGTCTATTGCACCCACCGAGTACTGTGTTACCTATCTGCCTTCGGACTGCCCGAGCTAGACCTACTAAAATCCTCAGGGCAGTCACTTTTCCCAAAAACGTATTATGTTACAATCCACACCAATGAATCACGCTCTTTTTAATTTAGATTTAGTGTCGCGAATATCCGAGTTCGGACCTGTTTTGTTTTGGTCTGGTTCTTATTGAAAGGCAAGTTACCAGTGCAGTCACTGATCCCTAGCCTGTGTAATAATAACCTAATACCTCTCACTTTAGTCTTTCTTTCGCCTACCTAAGTCCTTTAATAAAATAATACCCCTCCGGGTTGGCACAAATAGGACCCTTCCGGACTGGCAGAATCTAGACCCCTCCGGATTGGGACCCCTCTGAGTTTGTTAATATAAGACCCCTCCGGATTTGGACCCCTCCGAATTAGCAACTATAAGACCCCTCCGGATTCGGACCCCTCCTAACTTTAAAAAAAATTTGACCCCTCCGGATTGGGAAAAGTAGCTTTTCGGAGATTTCCTTCTTTCAACTTATACCCCTCCGGATACGTTCTCCGATGCAATTTTGCTCTTTCAATTAACTAGGAAGGGTGTGCACTACTTTCCTAGACCCTTCCGGATTGAAGTTAGGCCTCTTATTTGACAATTCACACAAACGGTGAAGGGTCTTATCGCTCGCTTAACTTCGGCTCGCTTAAGCTTTTGCTGTGCCTTTAGCCTTCCCTTTTCGTCTAGAACAGCCTAAAGTTACTTTATTCAACCGCTATTACCTTTTGGTAGGGGTATAAGGGCTTTTCTAAAAAAAATTTGTAAAACGTGAAGGGTGTACCCTTCCAAATTGAGGAATTTGCTAAAAACAATCTCAAAAAAATTTCACGCTTACTTTTCCGAAAAACTTTTGTCCCTATCAGTAAGCTCAGCTAATTTCTGATCTATTGGTACCAAGATCAACTCGATATGCCCAGTAGTTCCAAAGTTATTAACCAAAACGTCTTTTTTCTAAACTCTTATAGGTTCCGCCTAACTTTTTCCGCAAATCAGGTCCTTTCGACCTAAAAATTATTGATCCGAGCTCAAAAGGCCTATACTCTTCTAGTTCAATGTAAAAGACCCGATCTAAAACGCTTTTGCTGAAAAAATTTGCGAAAAACTATGCTACCTGCACCACTCCGGATTGATGAATCCACCAAATCAAACACGTTAAGTTCGATTTCTCTGCAACCCGAAGGCTTTCGGGTAGCGGATTTTAAAACTTGTAGATTCACCAGTGGACGTTGTTCGAACAACTATTTTTACTGTTGTAACTCAAAAATTTCAAAAAATTTTCTAAATTTATAGTGTTTCGTTTTCTCAAAAATCACGAAATTTCGGTTTTCGGTACCAAAATAGTTCCAACCACTTTCGAACTAAACTTGACCGGTTCTCTCTATTATGGTAGTGCAGTTACGATGTAACACACTAACTTAGTGCTTTTTTCCTTTTCAAAGAATATCGATATCTCAAAAATCGCGACTTGTGGGGGGATCAAAATATCGCTATTTTGACCCTAAAAACCGGTCTGTTTTCGTTGTTTTTGACTGAAAAACGATATAAGACTATTAATATAGGCTATATAATTAATAATAGTAGTAATTCTATACCCCTCCGGGTTTGTCTAATATCCGAATTAAGGTGCTTAACTCGGATATTCGCAGTTCGGTGAAGGGTCACTACAGTGCAGCACTGTCGAGCCCCCCACAGATTACTATCTTAATTTTTGTACCAAAAGGGATACAAAACTTGGTAACGATACCCAACAGTCGATTGTTGTTGTCGTTGAGCCTCTTCTTGTTGCTCCTTGTACTGCTTGCTGGATCAGTCTTCTCCCAAGACCCTTCCGAATTGAGCGCAAATCAGCTGACCCTTCCGGATTGAGCGCAATTTATCATTAACGTGCTTAAATGCTCAAATAACCCTACAGTACAAGCCTCACAAACGGGCTACAAACTGATCGTAACGATCCTGACTGATATAAATGCTTGCAACAACAATATATCTATCAACAACAAACGGGGGGGTCGGATCACATCTTGTCTGGGGGGATGATTTCTACTGATTTTTTTTAACTTTTTTACTGTTTTTGGTTTTTTCGGTTATTTTTTTTTGTTTTTTGTTTTTCTTGGGTACTATACTACTTTTTGTTTGGTTTTACATATTTCTTTAAGTGTTTTTGGTCACAAACCACACAGGGGACGAGGGGTTCGCGATTCCCCCCACCCTTCCTGGTTCGTGAATTTTCGGTCTTAACTAAGTTAAAAAGCTCTTCACGGCAATCCGGAAGGCTTCCGCGTTCCGAACTACCCTTCCGCCCCGGCGGTTTAGGCCTATTAAGGGCGCTAATGTGAGCATCCGCTCTGCGCGGAGTGCTCGTTAACGGTTCCGCCGGTCATGATGTTAAAAAGAATAACACCCAGGAGCGCCATAAAAACATCTATGTAACATTCGCCCGGAAGATACATATCGACGGAAGACAAAACTAAGTCTTAAGACGACTGGCTAATGTCTAAACAGAGCTTTGCATGCTTTTCACCGTCTCTACCAAGCCAGTACTTTTCAGTGGTCTTTCTAACATCGGGTCAACATTGGGCCGTCTTTCACCCTTCACCGTTGTTCGCAACGGCCTTGCAACTATTGTAGCGGCACAATAGTTGCAACTCGGAGTGTTGTCTGTTACTCTGTAACTCGTTGTCGTTTTCCAATCTCGATTTCGTAGTTGTTGTTAGCGCAGCTAATGTTGTTCTGTTTTTCTTTCTTGTTTTAACCAAAATGGCCGTTTCTGACGTTTCTCAGAAATATGACGTCATAATTCGAATTTTTGAAATTTTAAAATACCAGAATATTCCAGCCCTCACCGTCTGGCCAATCGTTCCAATAACGTTCTTAGTTCTTAATAATCACCAATCCGGAAGGCTCGCTGCTAAAAATTCGAATTCTGCAGAGATTGCATTTTTCACATTCTGGTCGAATGTCACATTTTTGATGCTCGTTCCATGGGCTGTTGATAAGCAGCTCTTGTGGGATGTAACGGTAGTAGACTCCTTGGCCCCTTGTAGGATCAATGCCGGGTCTGTTTGTAACCCTGGTACGGCTGCCGCTGAAGCGGCAGAGCGAAAAAATGACAAGTATAAAGATCTTGTAGATGATGGATATGGTTTTCAACAGCTAGCTTTTGAGATTCAGGGCGCGGCCGGCCCCAGCACAATTTTTTTTTGAGCAAGCTTTGTAAGAACCTAAGCATATGCACTGAGGAACCCAGAGTAGGCAGCTTTTTAAAACAGAGAATATCCCTGGCAATACAGATTGCGAACGCCGCTTGCGTACTCGAAAAAACAAATGACAAATTATCTTTCGACGAAATTTTTTATTTGTAACACTTGTATATTCATATTTTCTCGTGTCGAGTTGCGTGTTTTTATAGAAGAAACGCAACCCGGATCGATTTTACTTGAAAAGGACATCAACACTTGTCATCTTCTGTTATCATTATCATCACTTCCCTCAGGCCAAGTAGATTTTCCTATCTGGGATTACATATCTATGAAACCCCAAACACGATATGCCTTGAGAAACTACGAGAAGATGTTGTTTCAGGAGCCAGTCACAAAGAAACGACATACCGACAAATTCTTCATTCCAAGAGCAGTACGTTACGCCAATTTTCTGCACCTCAACACGTCTAATTTGAATTTTGACACCCCTGCTTCCTTTTCCCGACTGTTAAAGAAATGCTTTGTCAAGTTTGTTAAAGTGGACTATGATGAAAATTTAAACCGATAGTTCTGTAAATGATGTCTTGATATTTAGTGCCTTTTAGTGCAATTAAGTCTTGTACTACTACTACTTCCATATCTAGAAAATTCCAAGGATTTTGACTGGAATATGTGATGAAGGGACTCCTGACTGTAACCTCTGATTACCTTCTGATTACCCTTTTGACCTTCTGATTACCTTTAAAGAAAAAAAGCTCCATGCAAAATTATAACTAAAAAGTCTACAAGAGTTTGGACCTAGCCAAGTGAATGATTGTATATGGGTTCCGGTACGTATGGGTTCCAAACGTACTGCTGTCAATTGTGATTTAATATTAGAATAAGTACAAATTGAGATAAATCCAGCTTGGACTTTGGGTGGAATTTGGGGAGCATTTTTTTCGTTTGTCTCATTACAGGTTATAAATTTGTGGCCTGTTTTCGTCAGCTTTTTGGGTTGCTGTAGACCTAAGGTTTTGTGTATTCAGACTAGGAAATGCCCGCGGAAGATTACTCGGAACTCCTCGAGTTCTACAGTCTGAAAGAAACGATAGGCAGTGGAGGCTTTGCCAAAGTAAAACTTGGAATTCATTTGTTGACACAAGAAAAAGTTGCAATAAAAATAGTCGACAAAAACAGCATTGGTAAAGACCTTCCGAGAGTTCTATTGGAGATCGAAGCACTGAAAAGCCTTGTTCATCATAACATCGCGAGGCTGATTGAAGTATTTGACACTCCTAATAAAGTAAATTCTGACTTATAAATATCGTCGCAATAATAACTTTCTATTATGATTTTTAAGGAGAGATCTGTTTTAGTTGTTTATAGTGCTTGAATATTGCGGTGGAGGCGAGTTATTTGACCATATTGTTAACAAAGACAGATTAGACGAATGGGAGGCCACCTTCTTTTTTCGGCAGATCCTCTGTGCAGTATATTACATTCATGGAAGAGGTTGGCTTACTATTTTTTGATTATGACTACCAGAATGGCCAAGTCTGAGGCAGATATCTGTTTCAAAATTAAGTTTGTTTCAGGATATTGTCATCGGGACCTGAAACCGGAAAATATTTTGCTGGATTCAGACAAAACTATAAAGTTGATCGATTTTGGTCTATGTGCTTTTCCGGATGCTGGGCTCAAGACACCTCTTGACACATGTTGTGGCTCGCCTGCTTATGCTGCTCCCGAGCTCGTCTCGGGCAAAGCTTACCTGGGCACGGAAGCAGATATTTGGTCATTAGGTAAAAAGCGTTTTCAAAAATTTTGTGACTGAATAGGCGTAGCATTCGCTGTAGTTCAAGCTCACCCGGTAGTTTAGTCTTTTTTTCCTTAAAACTTTGTTGACAATGGCAAAAATTAGAGATGGTAAGTTTGCTCATCTCGTGTACTATCTACATGTACTGCCTATATTGGGCTCTTGGATGCTTGCAGTGTGAGTTTTTCTGGTGGTGATGACAAAAGTTTCTGCTAATTGGTTGTCGTTTATTTTCTGCTAATTGGTTGTCGGTTTTTTTTTACCTCCGGATTCTGGAGTGCCTTTTTCTGATTCTGATTTGGATCAGGTGATATTCATTCAACTGTGATAAATATATTTGTTTCACATTAAACTGTCCGGCTTTTCATATAAAACTAGAAAAAAAAACATAAAAAATTTCTGGATTTTTTCTTTAGCTTTGTTTACACAAGCAAAGCTTGTGTTATAGTATGAACTATCTTTTTTTCCAACCTAAGTCGCAAAGGTATTATGACAATGTATGGGATCGTTTGTTTTGAGACGCTTTGGAAATTTTTCGTTTTTCTCAAAGTCCACTCTACCGAATTTCAAGAGTGGTACTAATGGCGATTCCGGTCACTCCCCTGTTTGCCTGCATACTCCCCTAGTCTCTTTCTACCTTACGCCGCTTTCTAAAATTTAGAAAAATTTCTGGATTTTTTTTTAGCTTTGTTTACACAAGCAAAGCTTGTGTTATAGTATGAACTATCTTTTTTTCCAACCTAAGTCGCAAAGGTATTATGACAATGTATGGGATCGTTTTTTTGAGACGCTTTGGAAATTTTTCGTTTTTCTCAAAATCCACTCTACCGAATTTCAAGAGTGGTACTAATGGCGATTCCGGTCACTCCCCTGTTTGCCTGCATACTCCCCTAGTCTCTTTCTACCTTACGCCGCTTTCTAAAATTTAGAAAAATTTCTGGATTTTTTTAGCTTTGTTTACACAAGCAAAGCTTGTGTTATAGTATGAACTATCTTTTTTTTCCAACCTAAGTCGCAAAAGTATTATGACAATGTATGGGATCGTTTTTTTGAGACGCTTTGGAAATTTTTCGTTTTTCTCAAAATCCACTCTACCGAATTTCAAGAGTGGTACTAATGGAGATTCCGGTCACTCCCCTGTTTGCCTGCATACTCCCCTAGTCTTTTTCTGCCTTACGCCGCTTTCTACAGCCTTCGAAAAAGTGTGTAGGGGTTAGGGCTTGGGTTTTTTTGTTTTCTCGAAAACTACGTACCCAAATCTGAGATTTTGGGTTATTGGATACAACAGGCTGTAAGAAGCTCTCCTGCATAAGCGGTTAGGCCCATTTTTTTACACAAAATGTTATGGTCATCAAAATAGTCATTTTTTTGATTTTTTGACCATGTTTTGAAACTTTTCACAAAAACTACCAACGAAATCTGAGATTTTAGTTTAAATCGAACAGAAGGATTGTGGGGAGCTCCCCTGTTTTAGTGGTTACGCCCAAGTTTTAGTACACAAAAAGTTGTGACCTTCGAAAATTCGAATTTTGTACTGTTTTTTTGAAATTTTTCTCAAACTTCCCGAATTTGAGATATTGGGTTCATGAAGAGAGAAAGGGATCTCTGTGTAAGTGCTCACGTTCAATTTTTCTAACAAAAAAAAACGTTATGGCCTTCAGAAAAGTCAATGTTTTGATTTCTTGTCCGTTTTAAACTTTTGATATCCCGAAAACAACTCAATCTGATCAAAGGTTTAATCAAGGCAATAGGTTGTAAGAAGCCTCCGTGCCTTAACTGCTACGCATTGAAGTTTGAGCAAGAAAAATGTTTCTGGGAAAATTCCAGAATTACAAAAAAATGTTCACTCATTTTTTAATAGAGCAATAACCAAGGTTTCAGGTGAAGCTCAATGCTTAAATTTTTTAAATAACTTACTTCATCCCGCATCAGTACCAGAAATTCGAAAAATATCAAACAGGTACCTCCAGCTTTGGCTGGTCCTCTAGCAGCTTTTTACCTTTAAAGTATCATAGATCTGTAGTGTAGAGGTAGGGAAGGAGACCCGCAGCAAAATAAGAGGGTGCGAACCTGGGCAAGGTTGGATGTTTTTATGAACGTTTTCACATACTAGTTAAAATGCGTCTGCTCTATAAATTGAGGAAGGTTACTGGGTATATATATGAATATTTTTCAAATAGTCTGGTACTGCAAATGCGTCATAATTGGCTTGCGTCACTTAGCTTTTATGTAGACTCATAATTGGCGTGCGTCACTTGAGAAATTTTGTAGACTCAGAGTTTTACTCATTCACTTTTCAGGTTTTCCCTGGTTGAGTTATCGATCATATTTTTGCTTGTCAAAATGTTATTTTGATACTTCTTGTTAAGAGTCGATTCACGTAGTTCAGACTCTTTAATACACTAGTGCATAAATCTAAACGCAGTTTTAGGGTTTTACTCTCTAAAATGTCTTTTGTCAAGAACCATTTTAGACTTTTATTTGAAATTTCACCAGAATTTTTTCATCGACCTGCTGCAAATGATCTAAACTACACTCTCTGAAAGTTTCAATTCTGATTTGATTCACTTAACATTTTTTCCAGGTCTGAAAATATGCCAGTTTTTACCATTTGTCATGAGGTTTCTATGGGAGTGAACACTTTTTGAATAAGCGGATTAGTTAAAGCTGATCATGCAATGTGAAACATTTTAAACGAGTAAATTTTATTGTTGAGTGTGTTAACTTGCCTAAGCTCTGTTGTTTCCTATAATTTCACTGTGTTAGAAAAACCTATTACAAATAGTGAAAACTGGCATATTTCTAGACCTGGAGAAAACTGGTAAGTGATCCAAATCAAAAATTGAAACGTTCAGAGAGTGTAGTTTAGATCATGCGCAGCAGGTCGATGTAAAAGTTTTTGTGGAATTCCCAATAAATCTTGTCCAAAATGGACCTTGAAAAAAGCCATTTTTGAGAGTATAAAAGTAAATTTGCGTTTAATTTTGTTCATTAGTGTAGGTCGAGATGATTTTTTAAAAATTTTTTCATTGAAAGTCTTAAATTTTGTTCAGATTAAATTTGATTTTTTGAGGTTTGACTTTTCCTTTTTTACTAAGTTCAGTTCATTTCTTTCGTTAAAATGAAGGCAAACTCCACTATCGAACAGCAAAAGTGTATAGGTCACGGAAAACGTGATCGATTTCTAGTCTCGAATGTGGAGTTAAAATATCTTTGTTTGCTTAAGCTTTGTCGGCTTGGTTGCTTCATCAGGCAGATTTATTCGAAGATGAAATATATCTTTTTTTATTTTCTAGCTTGAATTCAGTGGAATTCAGCGAAGCTCAGGTTTGCCTCTGTGTCGAATTGGAAATATTTTTTATCAAAAGAGCGTCAGTCATGAAAGACTTTCAAAAATCAAAGTGCTTGAGCCAATAGTTTTCCTTGAAATTGTTTTTATCGTTCCGTTCTGAAATCGAAAGCGTTGTTGGAGTCCGCCGTCTATTGTTACGGTTGCATTCATTTTGTTGTTTCTGTCATAATTATCTTCTATAAATAACTTATTCGTTCACTGATCTGTTTCAAGCACCGGAAGTGCCTTGCACGCTAGTTGTTTTTGATTTACTCCCGCAATTTGTAAAATTAATAGCTCTTACGTTGTATATTTTCCTTGGTTTACCTATTTGTTTTTTTTAAAGCTTTTTTGGCCTAAATGCTTTTTGTTTCATTGCCTATTTTTGTTTAGCGTCAAAGGCAGAAAGTTTTTAATGTTCTTGAAAGTTTCAGGTTGATTGTGTTGCAAGATTTTAAAAGAGAAGTGCTCTATTTTTTTGACAGTTTATGGCATTGTTTTGTTTTTCGCTCAAAAGGCGAGTAAATACTTGTAATCGGCTTAGTGGCCGCTCAGTAAATACAAAAAATATTCTATTCGCTAGCTTGCAATGCTGTGCTTGCATTGAATCGAAAGTGATGCGAAGCTTTGCTTCGCCTCTGCGTTAATTTCTGTTATTTGCAATTTGTTATTTGTAATTTTCCTTTTTTACTAAGTTCAGTTCATTTCTTTTGTTAAAATGAAGGCAAACTCCACTATCGATCAGCAAAAGTGTATAGGTCACGGAAAACGTGATCGATTTCTAGTCTCGAATGTGGAGTTAAAATATCGAGTTTCACAACGTAATAAAATTTTTACCTATTGATCCGGTTTTCTATTTTACCTATTTTTACCTATTGATAGGATTAATTTTTATCAAAAAAGTTTGTATCACAAGTTGTTGCAAAAATTCAAAGAGCTTCAAGGCCATCGTCAAAAGTAAATTCGTATTTTTTTTTCTGTTTACTTGCTTTCATTGTCTTGTTACCAACTATCTGCTGGCTATATTTTTATTTTGATCCGTAAGTTAGTTTTATTTATATTTTTCAAACAACATATTCAGTTTCAAAAACATACTTGCCTAGTGTTCGCCCTCTGATGTTTGGTCGTTTTGATGTTTTCGTTGCAACATCACTTGGTTATACTGGGGAGAGCAAGTGTCTTGTAATCAGGAACTAGATTTTTTCCTCTCTAAACAACTTTCGTTATAAATATTTTTAGAAAGTTTGCTTTCTATTTGTTGTTTTATAGATCCTTAAACAACTTCCAGGCTCGTTCCCTTTTGGCCTAGAGGTAACGCGTTAATGCGGTTGCCTGTGTATTTTATGGCCTGGGGTTTGTGTCCCGACTGCATCTTGTTTTTATCATTATTTATGAAATGCTTTGTCTGCTTATGCTTTGTCGGCTTGGTTGCTTCATCGGGCAATTTTATTCGAAGATGAAATATATCTTTTTTTTATTTTCTAGCTTGAATTCAGTGGAATTCAGCGAAGCTCAGGTTTGCCTCTGTGTCGAATTGGAAATATTTTTTATCAAAAGGGCGTCAGTCATGAAAGATTTTCAAAAATCAAAATGCTTGAGCCAATAGTTTTTCCTTGAAATTGTTTTTATCGTTCCGTTTTGAAATCGAAAGCGTTGTTGGAGTCCGCCGTCTATTGTTACGGTTGCATTCATTTTGTTGTTTCTGTCATAATTATCTTAAATAAATGACTTTGTCGTTCACTGATCTGTTTAAAGCACCGGAAGTGCCTTGCACGCTAGTTGTTTTTGATTTACTCTCGCAATTTGTAAAATTAATAGCTCTTACGTTGTATATTTTCCTTGGTTTACCTATTTGTTTTTTTGAAAGCTTTTTTGGCCTAAATGCTTTTTGTTTCATTGCCTATTTTTGTTTAGCGTCAAAGGCAGAAAGTTGTTTATGTTCTTGAAAGTTTCAAGTTGATTGTGTTGCAAGATTTTAAAACAGAAGTGCTCTATTATTTTGACAGTTTATGGCATTGTTTTGTTTTTCGCTCAAAAGGCGAGTAAATACTTGTAATCGGCTTAGTGGCCGCTCAGTAAATACAAAAAATGTTCTATTCGCTAGCTTGCAATGCTGTGCTTGCATTGAATCGAAAGTGATGCGAAGCTTTGCTTCGCCTCTGCGTTAATTTCTGTTATTTGTAATTTGAATATATCTGGCTATGTTTTCTTTTTTTTTCGCCTAATGTTCGAATCCGGCCACATTTTTGAAACATCTCTGATTTTTGTTGTTTTTCAAACAGTTTTCATTTGCATGATTTTTGCTGATTCACTTGACTCATTCCTGTAATTTTTAATTTTACTAACTCGATCTTTTCTTTTTTTTTCAATTAAAAGCTTCAAGTGGCCTAATTTATTGTTTTCTTTTCTATTTAGTGACTATTTTCAAAGTTTTTTGTAAATAGAAAAATAGGTTTTTATCCGGAGTGGGGATTGATGTAAACTTAAAGAATTTCAGAAAGTTTTTCATGACTATTTTTGTTTTTGGCTCAACGGGAATTGACCCAAGTTGTATGGCCTTAGATGCCCTCGATAATTGTTTCTGAGTACTCATTGAGTATGCCGGACGCGCCCTCTCGGGGCTAAAAACAACAACAACACCATTTTGTTCTGTTTGGGCAGGAATTTTGCTCTACGCGTTGCTCTGTGGGTTTTTGCCATTCGAAGACGAGAACGTGAGTCGTCTGTACGACAAGATAAAACTAGGAGATTACGAGGAACCCGATTGGCTCTCCGCAGGGGCAAAGAGACTCATCAAGCGATGTCTCACTACAAATCCTAAAGAGAGAATAGAAATCAATGAGCTGATTGAAGATCCATGGCTAACCCGGTAAGTTAACAACAGCTAGCTTTGAATCCCAATTTTTTGAAACAGCGGAGTTTATTTTAACAATTGGCCTTTAGTGAGATATTTGACTAGCGAGGCTTTGATCTCAATCGTCATAGAAAAGTTTTTGGGTCTTGATCAATGAAGTGCCTAGAGAATGCATGCATAATGAGCTTAATATCATTATAAAAGTTATTTGAAAAATATAAGTTAGCTGTTTCTGCGAAGCTCACAATCGATGTTTTGTTCAGGGCTCACTTTGGGCCGATGCGAATGTTGTGGCCTTCGTTTTCCAAGTACGAGTTCGACGAAGACGTGGTTGGTCACATGGCCCACTTTTTCAACGTCAGCAGGAGAGATGTGAAGCTGAAGTTGTCTGAGTGGAACTATGACAGCTTCCTCGCAATTTACCAGGCTAGTATTTTTTCAATAAACAGCAATAATTACAATTTACATGCGTTTACGGATGAAAGTTTCCCTTTTTAGACGACAAAATTTAGACGACGATTAAAATTTCTGTCCTGGGTTTTAACAATTTTTTTTTTCAATACTTTTTAAAATTTCTGTCCTGGGTGTCAACATTTTTTTTTATGAACACTTTTGCAGCAAAAATTTATTGATAGTGTTTTGTGAACTACGAGCAGGCGTGCCGCGTTTTGCTGTTTCTACTGTTTTCTAGCTCATTGGAAACGTAACTCATTGTTTTTAATTATTTGCCTACAAATTTTTTTGTGTAGGTGTTGCTGAAGAAAAAGCAGCGCCATGAACCATTGGAAGGCGTTTTGAAGAAAGTCAGATCAGTATCTAACCGAATGACTCACACAACAGTGCCAAGATCACCTTCATGTGGTCATTACAGCACCAACTCAGGAATGGAAAGCTCAGCGCTTATTGATGACGTATTCGAACCCGTAAACATTGCCAACTCACAACTGACAGATTTATCAACGCCAGTTAAAGGCGACAGAAAAGCTTTGGTCGACAGGACACCCATATTCAATAACAGCGTGCATGGAAGTTTGAGGAAAAATCTGAAATTGGCTACTTTTAAAATAAATAGAACTCCGAAACATAGCAAATCAGAAGACCCAGATACCACCATAGGAATAGAATCGTCCTTCTGTAAGGAGAGTAAAAACTCAAGGAAGATGTCGCTCGATCATCCGGGCAGCAGCTTCTCGCCTCATAGAACCCACTCGTGTGATGTTCTTGACACGCCTGGACGCCATAAGATGGTGGAATTTGGAGCTCTGAGGCGACCCAGCAGTAGACTGGCTTCCATTGAAGACAATATCGATAAGCTGGTCGACCTGTTGACTCCGAAGAAACGCGCCAGTTTGTCTGGTGGGCCGAGGCATACGCGTTGCTTTGGCAACGTAGCATTAAGTGTGTATTTCTCCAATTTATTAGCTCGTGTGTTTGATTTCAAATTCCTTTAAATAAAGGAAGGCAAACTATGACGCGAAAAAACCGGATTGACCTAATTTCTAGGTTTTTGAGGAACAAAAATTGTAATTGTCTAAATTCTAAAGATTAACTGATTGGCCAGTTTTAATTAAACATGCAATGCTTGTGTTATAGTATGAACTATCTTTTTTTCCTACTTAAGTCGTAAATATTGTTGCGACGCAAATATTGTTGCGATAAAATGTGTTCATTTTGATCAATAACCAGCTATTAAGTACAGCCACTGTAAAGGATGTTAACACAGACTATTATTGTTCCGACCTTCGTAACGAAAGTAATGGAATATTTATGCTCGGGTGGTTTTTTTTCTTCAGGCAAATTTAGACTTTTTAACTAGCCATTTTTGACGGAATTTTTAAAATATCATTCAAAAAGTATTGTTGTTCTGAGCTTAAATTTCGAAAGATATTTTACCTGTGATCATTTTTCGTAAAGTTATAGATAGGGGTTTAAAAATTGCCATTTTGAGCAATTTGGTACAATTAACGCGCGATATATTTTGCGCTATTAACGCGTAAGCGGAGGTTTAATCATAGAAATCATTCCAAATTGGGGTTGAAGGAAGCTTATTTGCCGTAATTTGATTGTAACTAGGAGCGAAATGTATCATTTTGTTCTTGATATGGCGTGTAGGGGGGGGGTGATTTTCACAAAAACATCTCAAATTAAAAAAAAAATCATTGTATTTTCATTGCCTTCAATTTTCTCATATTATTACTGCTCCATAGACTGCTCTATAAATTGAGGCATGTTAGTTGGTAAATTTCTTTTTTTTTTCAAATTGACTGGTACTGCTAATGCGTCATAATTGGCGTGTATCACTTCGCCTCTGTGCAAAAACTGAACTAAAAATTCTTCAAACTTTTTACCCTTCAATTTTTTTTAAGTGCTAACTCAATTTGAATTTTGTAGTTGAGAACTGTTCGTCAGCTGCGTTTTTGCTGCACGAGGTGCACAGAGCCTGTCGAGAGGAAAGACTGGAGACTAAACTGAAGTTGTACACTGTGTCCTGCAAGTCCTACGATAAGAAAGGTCAGGTCAAACTAAAGTTCACATTAGAGGTCGTGGTAGTGTCAAGACTGAAGCAATTTGGAATTTTGAGAAAGCGCGTGGCGGGTGATACTTGGCAGTACAAGTCACTCACTCAAAAGATTCTAGACGGTCTGGATTTGGGAGCTATGAGTGAAGACTAGCATGAATTCAACATATGTTGCGTTGATGTGCTTTGATTGATGATTATTTATTTAAAAATTGTGTTGTGTTCTCACTTAGCTTTAGTAATTTTAAAACCGTATTTTTGAAAATTTTTGATTATTTTTGTTTAAATCTGAAATGATAGTTCTTAGTTGAAAAGGTTTTGTTAAGTGACATTTTTAAGAGTCGATGAACGTAGTTCAGACTCTTAACAAGTCGTGATGATTTTTTTTCGTTTTAGGAAAAGTTAAATAAAAAAGAAGTGCATTCATACTTATAAATGCTCATATGAATGTCCTTAATCAAATGTGGAATTTTTGAGTTCAATTTAAATTCATTTGATAGAAGGTAGGCAAAACGTTGAAGGTTATAAAAATCAAAATGGTGCGAAAAAACGTGATCGATTTCTAGTTTCGAAAGTGGAATTTAATCTTTAAGATTTTCAGCAAAAAAACTAAACCTATTGATCCAGTTTTCTCATATTGGGTTAATTTTATCAAAAAAGCTCCAATTATTAAAAAAACGCAATTTTATCAAAAAGAGCGCAATTGCGCTTGAAAATCAAAGAGCGTTAAGGCTATATTATTTTTTAGTTGATTGAAATTCGAAAGACCTTTTTTCAAAAAACTAGTCATTTTTTTCTTTTGTTTCCTTGCGTTCATTGACTCTTTTCCAACTGTCTGTTGGCAATGTTTATTGATGAAACTGACGAATATCAAATTAAGAATGATGATATTTGCTTTGTTTATTGATAGTGCTAAATTTAAACTGACTATTTAGTTGTTATTTTAAACGTAGACAGTGATGTCATTTTACGCTTTCATGAAGTTTGCGCTGTGCAGTTTATGATAATCTACCAGAATAAAGTTTGTTAAAGAAAGTATTGCTTTCGGAATTTACCCGCCAACTAATTTAACCTTTTTGTTACACCTTCCATATTAATTTTTACATATGCGTCTTGAGGAAATCTTGTTAAAGATTTAAAAGCTGCGATGCAACAAAATACCCGTTATGTTTTCGCTTTTATTTTAGTTTTGATTGCAAAAACGCGATAATAAATCGCAAGCTCGAAATCCGATTCGATACTAAAAAAGGAAGAGAGTATTTGAAGGATCCTTCAGAAAACATTGCAAGAAACCTAATCTCTTTAACGCGCCGTATCCGAAAACAAGCAGCTTTTTCATGACCGTGGTTTGCAGACACCGAATCAAGAGTTCTTTTAATAGAAAAGAAACATCTAATTGGGAAACACATCTTTTACAAGAGAGGAAAAAACCATCAAAAACTGACTTAGTTTTGAGATCACTGCCACAATTGAATCCTGAAAAATTGAACATATTGGATTATTTAATATCAAACTGTCGTATTAGTTGTAATAGTAGTTCTATATCAGCTAGTTGTTCGAACAGTTCGGTCGGATTTAAGACATGCCTCCTAAAAAGAACAAGAAGAAAAACTTCGACGAAGACTATTTTTTTGGAGAGGAGAACGAAGGAGAAGTCACTGCTCAAGTGAACGGCGAGCAGTCAGCAAATAATGATGATTCAAGTTAGTATTTCGTTGCTTCAGACCTGGTTTTATCAACTTTTTTGGCAATGAATGTATATGGATCTCAGCTAACAGCAAGCAACGCCACGTTAAGTCAGAAAACATAAATTGTTGTTTGCCCTTGAAAAAATCGAGATGTGAACTAAACGGAATCAAATAGGTTCTGAGCAAGCAGAGTACATTTGGATGTTTTTATCGGTTAGAGATTTTTCAGTTCTCCAACTTTTTGACAGCCATCAGCAAATTTATCAGAAACACGATGAAACGAGCTTTTTTATGTGCATCACTCGAAAGGCCAAATTTTGTCGTCAAAGCTGAAATCGAACAAAACTCGGGCGTATTTTTTTGGTACTCGGCAAAAATGACAATTGTTTTCTCATTCAACGACAATTGCTAAAGTTCTCAGCAATAGACAAACGTGGGCTTGTAGGTGGCGACGTAACAGTTTTCCATGTTGACTGATCTGATTTTTAGAACCCTCAGAAGACGATGAATCGGAATCCAAAGGGGCTTCCAAGAAGGCAGCTAAGGCGAGCAAGAAAAAGAACAAATTCGAAGGATTCGATGATTATTTCTTCGAAGATGACACCGGAGAAGTGAATGAAAATGAACAGCCGCAAGATGATTCAAATGTATCGAGTAAAAAGCGAGACGAGCCTGCAGCTGAGCCCAAAGAAGCAGGTGCAGTTCTAGTTTTTTGTGTTGATTGTTAAGGATAAAACTTATGTATTTTCAAATTAACAACTTGTTTCATTTTATGATCAATCTAAATAAGTTTGGTCTAGTTTTCGGATTTCAGTCAACTTCACATCCGATCACTAGAGTAAATTCAGAAATTTTAGTCCCTTGTAAATTTTAGCGCTGCTTCCCATTAAATCACTTAACTTTGGTGCTCGCGATTTTTGTTCAAATTCTTAATTTTTGTTTCAGAGACCATTGACTTTGAAGAGGAGTTAGAGACAAAATCAAAGAAAGGGAAGAAAAAGAATAAGAAAAAGGGAGACCTTGACGATGAAGAAGAGCATGCCGGACCTAGCGTGACCGAAAGCAAAGGTAAATGACATAAATTTCCCTTTCCCACGTTGTCTATGCACTGGAGGATAAACAAGTGAAGTTGAATAAAAAATAAATTTTTAGAGAGCTTTGTTTACTTAGGCATAATAATTGATGTGCGCGAAACTTCTGAAATCTTTTTTAAAATTGCTTACTGTAGAAACATGGTTTTGAAGGTGTTTACACAAGAAAATTGATTTGTTTAACTCCATTTGCCCCAGAAAGCATTAGGTTTTTTTGTGACAACTCTAAGTTGTGTTTTTTTTCCAGGATTGTTCTAGAATCAGGAATTATTTCTCTAGTTAAATTTAAGATAGCCAGCAGAAAATAACAGTTGACCAGCTTACCAGATAAAGTTGATTTGCTGATCAAAGGATGTCAATTTTAACTGCTGACAAAGTTGCGCTGACTTATTTAGATCATCTTGGTTTAAGAGTCAATGGACATAGTGAAAACTCTTATATAGGTCGTGATAATTGTTTTGGGAAAGTTTTCAATTTTCTCACGCTCCAGGCTTTTCGCGGTGAGACTTTTGAGTTCATTTAAAATTCAGGTCATTTTCATTGTCAAAAGGAACGGAAACTCCACTATCAACCAGTAAACTGTGAAGGTCGCGGAAAATGTCATTGTTACGGGTATTGCAAACGGTTACTAGACTTTTTTTTCCGTAAAGAACTTTGTTCACAGAAAAGATGAAATGGTAATCGTTTCAATAACACCATGGTTAGTGTAGTGTGTAGTAGTTGCATGTTAGGTTTTGGGTTCCTGTTAAGAGTCTTTTTTCTGTGTCGAAATTGTTCGGTAGATTTTCTGCGCTGGAAGGGGTCGGCTTTAATTTTGTCGGCTTATTTTCCGAATGTTTTTTTTTCTTTTAACATTCTTTTGTTTTTTTTGCGATAGCGACTGATTTCTAGTATGAATTTTAAGAAAAACATAAATCAGCCTTCTAGACTCTCAAAAAAAGAAAACAAATAAACATAAAAAATTTTTCAATTTTTTTTTTTCATTTCTTTTTTTTAAAGTTGAAGTAACAGAATTGGTTCAAACTTATATTGTTTTTATTTGTTTGATTAGTTGTATCTATCGCATTCTTTTTTTGTGCAGATAAAATAGCTCATTAGTTTTTTTTGAGTTTTTCAACACTAGATTTTTCAATTTTTTTCTCATTGAGTTTTTTCGATTGAGGTTAGGTTCAACTTTCTTTTTTTTTTAAATTGTTTTTGTCCGACTTTTTTCATCAAGTTTGTTTTTGTTGAGTTTTTTCAGGTTTACAAACAGTTTCATTGCGTGTGTTCTGCATAGCTGGCAGTTTTAAAACGTCAGCTGGAGTCAAACTAGTTTTGTTGCTTGTTTAAGTTTCAAAATAATTTTCGAACACTTATGCAACCTAATTTTTAATTGGTTCGTGGACATACATTTTTTCTACCTTGCAAGTGGTGCGAAGCTCTATCGCATTCTTTTTTGGTGCAGATAAAGTAGCTCATTATTTTTTTTTGAGTTTTTCGACACCGATTTTTCAATTGTTTTCTCATTGGATTCTAACCCCTTTTTTTGAAGATTGCAATTTCATTCGAAAAATGAAGAACAAGCAAGCCTGAAGTCCTTTCAAATCAGAAATAAATCAACTCAAAGTTTTTGGTAATTTATGTTCAAAATCGCTAGACGCATTTGTTGTTTAACTCTTTCAACGTGAGCAACTGTCTGCTAACTTTCCTGATTAACTTGCTGTATTCTTTAAGTTTAAAGTAGTTCCAATATGAAGAAAAATTGTAATAAAAAATAATTTTTTTGGTTTTAAGTTTTTTCGTTGTCAATTTAAAAAAGAATATTCTATTCAATTCTTTTTAACAACCAGATAATATTGATACTTTTCCGGACTCATTCATTTTTTTAAAATGGTTCAATGATAAGCAGTCTTTTTTGATCATTATTACTTTAATTGAGTTTTTTTCGATTGAGGTTAGGTTCAACTTTCTTTTTTTAAAACTTGTTTTTGTCAGAGCTTTTTCATCAAATTTGTTTTTGGTGATTTTTTTCATGATTACAAACAGTTTCATTGCGTGTTCTGCATAGGTGGCAGTTTTAAAACGTCAGCTGGAGCCAAACTAGTTTTGTTGCTTGTTTATTTTTCAAAATAATTTTCCAACACTTATTCAACCTAATTTTTAATTGGTTCGTGGACATACATTTTTTCTACCTTGCAAGTGGTGCGAAGCTCTGCTTCTCTGTGTCCAGTTTTAGTTTCTAAAGTTGATTTAATTTTTCTCTATTTCCAGCGGATGAAAATGTTATTGATGTGGATTTCATTTTCAAATCGAGAAAGTGAAGGTATTTAATTAGGAGAGCGGTATACATAAACATGTATTTAATAGCTAATAAAACTGTTTTTCAGGAGAACTCTTTAAGGATCTGGCAAAAAGCTATATAGTTAATCGATGAATGGCCCTAAGAAACACAAGATAGAGTTTGCGATAGAATATCGGACTTGAACCGCGTGAATCAAAAGAAGTCTAATGCAGCGGTGCAGAAATTTTGCTTTAATTGATTGCTCAATTAACTATTACAAACTGTCTGGTATCATTTCGTTTGGTTGCAAAAGTTTTTGAGGTAATTATTTGAGGACTGCACTTGAGGTAATTATTTGGCTATGACTACTGCTTTTATGGAGTTATTGTTTTCAATATAGGCAATTTTTTGGCTGTTGAAGATCGAGTAATACGTCGCGTTTTCAGTGAGTCGAAATTCCAAGTCTTAAGTGTGCTTTTTCAGCTATTTTGTTTCCTTAAAATGTCTGATGTTTAAATCAAAGTTAGTCTCTATGTCATCTTCATACAAGATTTATGAAGCATGTTCAAATTTTTGTTTGAAATTGCGTAGCAGTTGAAATTTCTTACAAGTGCAGATTATTAGAAAAAAAATCTACCCCCAAAATAGAAAACCCTCAGTTTGAATCAGCAGAAAGACAACTTATGCGTTTTGAATCTCCATTTATTTCTCATGGTGTCCCAACTTTTCTAACCATCTGTTGGTTTTTTTAATAGAAAAAAGTTGTTTCATAGAAGTCAGAATTGATCCGAGTTTAAAATCCTCTGCGGAATTCGAGATGAATCTGATTAACGAAGGTTCTCCATTCAAAAAATTAGTACGTAGCTGGGATTTTTTTTGGTTTTTTATAGGCGCAGTTTGTAACATCAAAAAATACGCCACTTTTTCCCAATATTATTGCAAATCCGTTTAAATTTTTTCTTACAGTTTATCTATCTGTCTATGATTTAATTTAAGTTTCAGGTGACACATGTTTAAAATGTCCCTATGTTGACGAAGCTTATTCAACGTTTTGTTTTTTGCATTTTTAACGAAAGAATTCTTGCACGTTTGAGCTATATCGTGGATTGTAATGCTCAAAAAATTTAACTTGGAAATGTATAAGAAGGGTTGAATTGTTTTCTCAAGTCGACGTTTTAATTTCTGTTGGAGCGCGAATGCAACCTTAAACTTGCAACGTAAAACTTGTTCTTTATTTGCAACGTAAAACTATCGAAGTAATTGTTTCACATTTTGCTTCAACTAAATTTGAAATTCTCATTCCTGAAGTGGGATGCTGTGAGGGTACACTCAGGCGTTGCAAGTACTGTGTCCAAGTATGACTGCTCTAGTATTTTCGGTTTTCGAGATATGGTGTTTATGATTTTTTCAAAAAATTTAGATTGGAAAAAACTAATCGAACTTAAATTCTCAACCCTATAGTAAGGAGTTTTCAGGGTACACTCAAGGGGTTGCAAATTTAGCGTCCAAGTATGACTGCTCAAGTCTTTCTGTTTTTCAGGATATGGCGTTTTTTTACAATTTTTTCTTTAAAAACTTAAATTTCTTAACACTATGGCTGAGTGCTCTCAGGGTACAATTTGGGTTGCAATTCAGCTCTCTAAATGTGACCGCTCAAATATGTTTGGCTGTCGAGATATGGCGTGTTTTTTTTTTCAATTTTTTTAAAAAGAAAAACTTGAATTTAAATTAAAAAACACTAAAAACATGAAAAAGTCAAACCTATGATGGGGTGCTATCAGGGTACTCTCAGGAGTTGCAAATGTGGTCTCCAAATTCTTCTGCTCAATTCCTTTTGGTTTTCGAGATCAGGCGTTTTTTATTTTTTTTTCATTTTTTTTTAAAATACTTGAAACACATGAAAAAAACTTAACCCTATGGTGGTGTGCTATCAGGGTCCTTCTGCTCAATTCCTTTTGGTTTTCGAGATCAGGCGTTTTTTATTATTTTTTCATTTTTTTTAAATACTTGAAACACATGAAAAAAACTGAACCCAATGGTGGTGTGCTATCAGGGTACTCTCAAGAGTTGCAAATCTGGCCACGAAGTATAAAAACTCAAATCTTTCTGGTTTTCGAGATATAGCGTTTTTTCTGATTTTTAATTTTTTTTTCAAAACGTTTAGATGTGAAAAACAAAATTAAGAACAAGAAAGTTTCAAGACCCATGGAGGAGTGCTCTCAAGGTACTTTTTGAGGGTGCGTTTCTGCCAATCAAATTTGACGGCTCAAATCCCTATGGTTTTCAAGAGGAATTGTTTCTTATAGTTTTTTTATTTTTCAAAAAACTTAGATTTGAAAAAAATAACAACTTGAAATTCTGTCTCATAGTGGGTTGCTTTCACGTTACACTCGCAGATTGCATATGTGGCCTCCAAATATGACTGATCAAAATCTTTTAAGAGCAGAGTATTTTTTGCTTTTTAAAATTTTTTCTTTAAAAAACTCAGATTTTGAAAACTGACAAAACTTGAAATATTCAACTTTGTATTGTGGTGTGCTGCGACGAACTTCCTACAGGATGTTTAAATGTATCTATCGCATTCTTTTTGGTGCAGATAAAATAGCTCATTTTTTTTGAGTTTTTTCACATTTAATTTTTCAATTTTTTTCTCATTGGGTTCCAGCCCTTCTTTTAAAGATAGCGATTTCATTTGAAAACTGAAGAACAAGCAAGCCTGAAGTCCTTTCAAATCAGAATTAAATCAACTTAAAGTTTTCGGTAATTTATGTTCAAAATCGCTAGACGCATTTGTTTTTTTTTTACTTATTGCTAGACGCATTTGTTTATGCTTTTTAAATTTTTTTCTTTGAAAAACTCAGATTTTGAAAACTGAAAAAACTTGAATTTTTAACTATGCATTCTGGTGTGCTGCGACGAAACTCCTGGCTTTGTGTTGAACATCTCAGATTTGGTTAACGAGATATGATACTTCCAGTAGTTTTTCAATAAAAATTTGATTGATATCAGAATTTAAAAAAATATATGAAAGGAGCATGAGTATAGTGTCGGATTTTTAGGGTCCTTTTTGGAGTTTTAAGTGACACAAAACTGAGAAACCTCATTAGTTTTAGGGATATGAATATATGGGTGAAAAATAACCCAAAAGATAACTTTTTAAACTGTTCACTTAATGAAATGGAAAACCAAATCCTAATAGATGGGCCCAGTTTAAATTTACGGTTGTACTAAACGTTGTTGTTGTGCAAATATTTTAGCAGGTTTTTTCTTGTTCAACATTCTATTTGAAGCACCGTAGGTGCGAGTCATGCGCTAATTAGTTATTAAGATTCGATGAACATAGTGAAGATTTTTATAGAGGTCGTGATAATTTGTTTGCTAGCGCTGAAATTCGATTTTTCGCGGTGAGCTTTTGCTTTCGGAAGTTCAGTTCATTTCCCTTTTTGAAAGGAATGCAAACTCCACTATAGAACAGCAATAGTTGAAAGGTCACGAGAAATGTGATCGACATCTTATTTCGAAAGTTTATTTTATTTTTCAGATTTACCAGCGGAATAAAAATCATCTTTTGATCCAGTTTTTTCTTATTCATCATATATATATTCATCATATATTTTTCTTTGAAGTCATAAGTTTTTTTCTGTTTATTTGCGTTCATTGCCTCTTTTCAATTTGTCTGTTGGCTTTCTTACA